ATAAAAATTCACAATAAATGAAGTCAATATTTATTTAAATTATATTCAAATTTTAACGAAATCAAATTCTTTGAATTAAACAATTTCCAAATGGATTAATTTTCACCAATTTTGAATATAAATTGTCATACCATATAAAATTTTTCCCTCGAATCAACGCGAAAATTTACATCAAGAATTGAAATTTTTTTTTATATTGAGTTCCTCGAACTAAAATTCTCAAATATTCAATAATTGTTGCTTTTTTTTCTTGAATTTTTTAAACCGTTAAACTCTTCACCATGTCATTTCCCGATTTAAATCAAATTTATTATTTATTTTGTTTTACTCATCCATTTTGTTGTAGTTTCTTGAAGTAATCCAATATTTGGTTGATTAGATTTCACAATAATTTCACGTAAAAAAAAATTTACAATTTTTCGGAACGGAAGTTCACACCTTAATTAGTTTCTCTTGAAGAGAGAAGTAAGAAGGACCAAATTCTTCAACTTTTGAATGGTTTAGACGACGCGAGAAATGACCCGGAACAAAGAACGGCGGGAACTAACTTTGGGGGTGCATCGACGCTCTTTTATTACCTCGGATTGCGAGGATGTACTAATTAATGTATGTGTATGAATTTTGATGTGTTTGTCAAAGGAGGGGCCATGACATGATGTCGATGCACCAAGGTACACCTCGGTACGGATACCTGAACCTCCTGGTGATAACGCTTTTGGAGACAATTCAAAGTGTTGCCACCCAACGATCACATGATCGTTACATGAACTTATTCTTTTTTTATACCCTTTTTTCTTCATTAAATTCCTTCTTATATTTTCACGAGTAATATCGATTAAAAATGAGACTTGCTTTGGATTACCTCCAATCTGAAATGCTTTTTGAAACCACGTATTATTCATCATTTTCTAATTCCATTATTTTTCAATCATTATCAATTTTTCTCTCATTTCAATAAAAATGCGATACGTCTCCAGACGTAACACTGATGAATTGGCCAACATTGAATTAATTTTTCAATTTATTGCATTCTAATACAAAAACTGCATAGAAACTCATGTGGATATGATAGAACATCACTGTTGAACCATGCGTTGGTACGAAATACGAAATTTTCGTTCGAGCCATCATCAACTTAAATATGTATCAAAATATGTTTATTTATCAACTTTCTGACTCGAAGTCAGGAAGTTAGTGTAATGAGTCCCAAAATCGAATGAATTTTTTTTTGCTTCCGAATAGACGCATTCTATTCGTCGGATTTTAACATTCTCTAATTTCACCTGGAAATTATGTAGAATGTTATAAAACGTGAAGAAATGATGTTTTAGAAAATGTCTCTATATCAGGGTCTGATATTTCGGTTTTTGGGTTACTACTTTTTAGAAAATATAACATGAATACGGGAAAATTCATTGATATGGATGTGAAATTCTGACTCATAGTAGGTACTATAAAGCTCCAGTTCGGTGCACAATTTTCGCCCGATCGGTCCAGTAGTTCCTGAGATATACAACTTTGTGTATAAAAGTATTTTGGTCAATATCTCGAAAAATATGTCTCGACGTCTTCTATCTAGATCAATGAAAATATATATCCCCCTTCTTACAAAGTTTTTGAGATATTGCCGATTTTCCATTTTTTTCCTACATGCCTTGCACGGGCGATAACCCAACAAAAAATTGAGATAGGAGGTTGAAATTTAGTATGATTATAGTTCTTATAACACACAAAGTTGCTACTTTGGATGAGCGATATCGGTTAAGTAGGTCCGAAGATATTTAACTTTTTGTCTGAAACTATATTGGTCAATATCTCAAAAACTACTTGACTGATTTCATTTTTTTTCGAAATTCTCGACTCGATGACTTTTATCTAGGTCGATCAAAATATCTATAACCGTCCATACAAAGTTTTCGAGATATTGCCAATTTTTTATTCGTTTTCCTAAATTCCTTGTTCGCGCGATAACTTGACAAAAAAATGAGATATGAGGTTAAAATTTATATTTCCGATTTTGTATTTTTTAGCTAAATTCCTTGTACGTCGATGACTCATATCAAATCGAGATAAGAACGCATAATTCAATAAACCAAGATGATAATCGTTGTCCATTTACGTTGAGGCTCCATTAAACTGGAACCTTTCCATAAAAAACGATTCATACCAAACACACTTCCTGTCACATGGACAGGAAGTGTGATATACATCGGAACTATTTCAAATTCTCGAGAATAGTATATTTTTAACCGAGGGCGGTAAAATAAAGGAGTCTTGCCCACATGCAGAATTACACTAAGTGGGAAGAAAATGTCTACTTTGCATTCGCGAGGGTGAGAATAGTATATTTCAATACGAGTGAGACGGAATTTTTACGAACTTGAAGTTGGCGGCCCGCGGCGAAGCCGAGTACCGATTACACGAGCTGAAAATTCCCGTCTCATATGTGTCGAACAATATTTTTTGACAATGCTGTTACGTTCAGCAAGTGACCGAACTGTGCCTTTTTCGTTTACAAGTAAATGAAAAAAGTTTTTGTTTACGAGTAAACGCAAAGGCACTTTTCGGTACAAAATGGAATTGACGTTGCCATTTTTTAAATGGAATTTGGACCAATTTATTCGTAAGCTTACTATCAATGGAATTGGTAGAAATGAAGCAAAGAATAAGAGTTATAACACATAAAGTAATAGTCAAATAGTTTCTACAAGATTCGCAAAGAAAATTCTAACACCCATAAAATATAAAGAGACATACAATGTTAGCTCTTCAACATCCTACTAAACGCCACAAAACGTCAAATTTTCCGATTAAACTTGAGTCTTCGTATTCGGTAGTAAAGATGTAAAGAGGGTCCCAGGATTCTGGTATTCCAACCGATGCATTCAAATTTCTTTTGAACCTCCGTACTTTGACAGGCCAATATTCCAGCGTGCTCAAGTCCTAATTATAAAGTTCGGCGCTCAGTACATTGATGCCAGAACGCGGATAGATTTTAAGGAGGGAGAGAGTGGGTGAATAGTTGCTTTGATGAACGCCCCTCTCCTATCGCTGGTTGTGCTATCGATATCATTACGCGCACGTTCAGTATCGAATCGATTTCACTACCGTGTTAATTCGAACCTATTGGCAAGCACAGCCAATATGCTTTGGGTATTCACGTTTGATCGACAGTCGACGATTGAGGGAGAAGAGAGGTCTCCTAGACGAGTTTATCGGTTGCTATATCCATCCCCTCTCGAATATATATCATATGAAATGTGACTTATCAGCATGGGAGTCATTTCCACAATTGGCTTTTTAGCATTGTCCAGGAAGAGGGATTGGGCGCTCTCGTTGCTGCAATTTGGCCCCCTCTTCTCAATGATACCCGCCTTCAAGTACATAAATAATACCTTTTTCCATCCTTTCGTTAAAATTGGATTTTTTTCCTCTCTTCCTCTCCCGTATACATATATTCCCACTTCTACACATATATCAAACCCACCGGAAGTAGCTGGAGTGACTTCCATAATCCTGCATGCTACTATAATGGCGAGGGAGGAGTTGATATATTTCATGTTTTTGAGTTCCAGTGGCGAGACGAAGGAAATTTTATCATGTATTTCCAAGTCAAGTCCTCTCTTCGGCATATCATGCTCTGTATTGGGTAGGTACTACGAATTTTCGTGAATGTTGAGATAAGCTACAATCTTAGTTGAGGAAAAATCACCATGAATTTTGGAAATGACGAAACTTTCAATTTCGAAGTTTTTAAGTTATACCTATATTCTATACATGCAAAAAAACTATTCCATCGTCTCATGGAGGAGAAAGTTTTAAGGAATCAGCCTTGAGGGAATCACATTTCGAGTCTTTAGAAATGTATCCTTAATTTCTAGTCATCCTATTTCCATCCTTTAAGGATTCTTGATACTAACTAGAATTACTCTGAGCATTAGAAATTCAATCACTGAAATATGGGTCCAAAATTTTTCCTCTTCTGTTTAGGATTTTCAGTGGAAATTGTTGACAAATTCACTTGATTAGAGGATTTATCACGCAGTAAATTTTGAAATGCCACGCTTTGGAATACAATTTTCAAAATGTGTTGAATTACTATTTTCTATGGAAAAATGTGGTTTGAAAGTATAATGAATGAGTAGGATTTTTTTGTTGCTAAAATCGGCCTCTTTCTATTCAGAAATTAAATACCGAAGAATCGTTTCTGATTTTCTTTCATATATATGTTGACAAGAATTTCGAGAAAAAAAATGAGTCTTGACATCTCAGTAACTGAGTGCGTTGCGTATTTTTATGATATTATGCTTCGTCCATGCGCAAATTATAAACAGGTGATTATTTACATTTTGTTCTGTACTAATTGAATAATAAGAATAATGTTAGAAAATAATACAAAAATCTTGAATTGACAGTGCCGTTATTTTTCAAAGTCATAGAGGTATCGCCTTGAGCTTTCTTATTTCCATCGTGGAAAATAGAATATTAGAGTTTAGAATATTGCGGCCGGTCAATTTCTTGCCCAGAGTCAGACGGTGTAGGGCGGTATCCGTGGATCTACCCTCTCGATACGCATATTGTGAGGGAGAGAGGGGACTCGCTACCAAGGGCCCCATTTTTATGAATCGGTCCACCAGTCTTTACAGCGTCTTCATGAAGGATATGAAGGATGTAAAACTTATTGGGCGGAAGTCCTTTGGTTTAACATACCCAACCTTGCCCGGCTTTGGAATGAAGACCATCTTAGTCTCGTTCCATGACCTCGGAACATATCTCAGTACTATACTGGCCCTGAGAATTTTAGTTAGGGGTCCTATGATGTTCTCCATTCCCCCCTGTAGCAGGGCCGGGAAAACCCCATATGGCCGTGGTGTTTTGTAAGGCTCAAAGGTCTTTACAGCCCATTTGACTCCCCACGGTTGCACAATTTTGCCAGTCAAGGACCAGTCGTGAGTTTCGTGTTCGCCCCTTCGACTTCGCCTTGATTCTGTATCTCCTCCTCAGGATTCGGTGAATCCCGGAAAGTGTGTTTCCATTAGGAGTTTCAATGTTTCCTCTATTGTCTCCGTATTGCTCCCATCCGGTGCTTGTAGACTCCCTAGATATGTGGTCTTGTTTATACCAAGGATTTTCTCCAGCCTGGCAGTCTCTGATTGGCTCTCAATGCCGCTCGTGGAAGCCCTCCAGCACCTGTCTTTGGCGGCTTTTATTGCTTTGTTGTACTTTGCGAGAAGTCCCCTGTAAGTCGTCCAGGCTGCTTCCTTACGGGGACCTTTCCTCGCATTCTTCGCCTTGTTGAAAGCCTTTCTGGTTTCATTCCTGAGTCCCCCAAGTTCATCTTCGGACCACGAGGGTATCTCAGTCTTCCGCCTTCTGGGCAACAACTTACAGTTTTCCTCATATGAGTCAATTATCACCCGGTGTAAGAGCTTAGAGGCCTCCTCCAGTTGCTTCTTGCTGCCAAACCTGAGAGAAATCGGCCTCAGCCTAAGTGCCAGACTGTTCCGATAATTTCAGTCGGTTCGCCGTGGGTTCTGCTCCACTCAATCGGTTCCTCAAAAAGAACGAAGATTCTTATGGTTCTGTGATCCGGGGCCGAGAGGTCCTTTGAGACTCTCCAGTCTCCAACCAAGCTAGCTACATCATCCGTTACCAGAGTTATGTCTAGTACTTTCTGTCGCCTACGGTCAACGAAAGTTGGTTCTGTCCCCCTGTTTAAAATATGGAGCCCTGCCCTCATGATGAACTCTTGGAAGCTCTCTCCCCTGCCGTTGCAACCGGTGCTCTCCCATGCAGCATGATGGGAGTTTGCATCAAAGCCCAACAGTAGTTGAAGCCTCCTCCTTTTCACATGGTTGCACAGCTCCCTTACTTCATCCGGTGGGTGTGGCTCTGTTGAGTCATGGGGCATGTAAGCCAACCCTACTATTATATCCATGCCCCTGCCTTGTTCTAGGTTTAACCTCACTTGAGCCGCAGTTAGATCTCCCCCGCTGAACTGTGGACAGAGAAAAGAATCTAATCCTTTAATAATTAGGCAGGTTCTCAATTTTTCTGGCGTATCGGCATGATATACCTTGCCACAACCAGTCAGTCCCTTAATAGCATTGTTGAATATCCAAGGTTTTTGGATCAATGCTATTACTGTCTGCATTCCAGCTAGAAGCTTCGCTAATGTCGCCGAAGCTGCCTTACTCTGATGCAAGTTGATCTGTACGATCTGTACTCGATTCATAGCTATGGTAGCTATTTCTCTGGTACTTCAGTCAGGTACGACTGACATACCAGAGACCACAGTGAGGTAAAGAAGACAGGTACGTCTTCTTTACCTCACTGCAGTCTCTCCCGAGCTTCCTTACGGTAGCCTTTTGGAGCCCACAGTGAGGTCTGAAGTTGCATGCCGTCAGTCCACCAAGCGACCCGTCATCGACCAGTGCAGCGAACTGGGCACTCTTGGCGTCCCTAGATTCGCTGCCCCGAACGAAGACCAACTTACTGGCCGTCAGGTCGGCATTTTGCTTCTCAAAAAAACTCAATGCTTCCTGAGAAGTAATTTCCGGGTCTTCCACGTGTATCACCACTTGATGCTTCTTAGGAAGCTCCGAGATCGCCACAACGTGGATGATGTGCCCCGCTATTTTATTCTCAGGGAACAGACTCTTCAGCCAGCTCCCTGTGGCCTCGTCTGTGCAGTTCGCCACAACCGCACCGTCCCTCTCCCAGACCCCGTCGAAGGTGGGTGCTTTGTCCGGTAGAGCCAATATGGCCCCCTTCAGGAGCTTCTTCACCTCTGTCACTCCCCCGGTGTCCCGCTTCAGGTCCAGATATGACTGGGGTATCACTGCCAGCTTTAACGAGTTTGCACTTGTCTGGGCGTATGTGCCCTGATCCTGCTTCCTCATTTTTTTCTCTCTTGGTCTGGTGGTGGTACTAGGCATGGTGTACTCAGGAAGATGTCGTTTTGCAGCCCTCTTCTGAGCCCCCACATCACCAGCCACTTCAGCCTGAGATGCAGCTTCGACCAAGGTTGCTATTGCCCCCGAGGTTTGCTGCTGCCTCTGCCTCCTCATCTTCTTCCTGGCGGCACCGCTCAGCCTGCCTCGTTTGTTTTTTCCCCCAACCGAGTCAGTCCGAGGGTCACCAGTGGTCCTCTCCGGGTGTTCGCCATCACTGGCCCCACCCGGAGAAGTTTCTTCAACTAATAGTTTTTTAAAAATAGTTTGCATACTTGATCCCACGAGTATCACGGAAGAGCGGTCTCGGCCGGTCAGAGCCATGTATGCCGAGGCTTGGCTTGTCCTAAGGCTACTCCCAGATATCGCCCGGTTTCTGAGAGGCACCGTTAATGACACAGCTCCCCCTGTGCCACGCATCCCTAGGCACGGTTATATGAGCATAAGGTCATATACTGGTTGTACACCAGGCTCACAGCATGGATTTGGGTGGGTTTATTTTAGCAGTTGCGGACGGTGGCAGCCCCTTTTTAAAGCTTCCCCGCCCGCAACTGAGCCCCCCTACCAACGACAAGGTAAAAAGGCGGTCAGGGGGGAGATAGAACATTAATATCACGCAAAAATGGAAATAATCAGCCATTACCATTCCTGTATGCTATTGTATATCACATGTTGAAATCACAAAGACTTTGTGACGAATTCCAGATTTATAAATTAATCGAAAAATATTAAATCAAATAGAAGCACCTATAGACAATTGCGGACGCCCATGTGACCTTCTAGGTGCCAGTTCGTTTATTCGGAGAGGGTAAAAACGAACAGAACCTCCCAACTTATTGCAAATTCTTACCAATTGTTAACCATTATACCCGTGCTCTTAGTTACTAGGGGAAGGGAGGACGAAACTCCCTCTTCGAATTCCTGAAATCTCTTCACGACAATTCCACAAATCCCAAAAATTCTCCACAGAATGAAACACAATGCCTCATTTTTGTATTCAAAAGAAACACATATATTGTTCGTATTCAAAATTGATGCAAAGATAAACAATAATTTTAATTGGATATAAAATGAAAGAAAATAAAATTTAAGGATCTGGGGAACTAATGCGTCTCCTTTAATGATAATTTTTGAGAACACCGAGCAAACAATTTAGCTAAGATTAACCCAAAATAATCACCGAAATCAATATTTAATGAACAATAATGGGGAAATAGTCCCCACGAATGATTCAGTGCCCCGAAGTACCGGAAATTCAACAAATAACCTGAGTACTTGGCTCACTCAGCCCCTCAGTGTGGCTCGGGGTCGTCCTGTGTCGTCCAGAAAGCATCTTGTCGTCAGCAAAGTCGACTTGCAGTTCAAACCCTCAATGCCACCCAAAACTATTCAGTGGAGTATCCGCTCCACAAACTCTAAATTTCTGTTATTCTCCTATTAAAGTATCTGTTACTATTACTGTTACTTTTACTCTGTTACTATTATTCTGTTACTACTACTGTTATTATTACTCTGTTACTATCACTCGACAACGTTTCGGGGAGAACTGCGGTGCCTCGATTTTCGCACGTAGGCCCGCAGTTCCTCAAAATCGTGAAAAATCAAGGGGGGTTATTCCCCTTCTCAATCTTTGTTTACATCAGTACGACTACCGACCCCGAGCCTTGGGCATTGCGAGTGATCAAATTTGAATCATTATTATTTCATTTTCGCAGCTCCTCGGTATTCCTCTTCGGGGCGATTTCCCCCGATGTTCCTTTGGACATCCTCTTGCCCTTCGGTCCCTGTGTCCTCGTACTGTAGAGATCAGTGATCAGGTGCGTGCTTTGAACTGGATCCGAGCCCTCTCGATTTGACCTCAAGAGATTTTTCTCAGGGTCTTCTCTTCTTTATCCAGAGCCTCTCGTAAAAAATCATGCGGGATTAGCATTTGTTCTCATCCCCACACTGCCTCGATGGTTGCTTTCAATTGACAGTAAAGAAGGAAAAGGAGAGCGTGAGCTCCCCCCGAGACTCAGGTTCTAATCTTTTGACTTTGCAAACTCAAAATACGCGATAAATGTGACAATTGTCACAACTTTTTGAAGTAATGCATACTCGCTCACATGTGAATTTTTCCATGAGAATTAGAATCATTGACAGGTGGTTAAAAAATGTCAATTACTTCCATGCACAATAATATATTCTTTATTTTTCCAGAATCAATGTGCATATTTAATATGATGACTGAGGGTTGTTGAACGCTTTTTGGTCAACAAATGCCTCCTTCCCGATCACAATAAAGTTCCCATCCGGCGAGAGCTTCAGGCAATCCACATCACCATTGCAGGAAATGTCTGAGGTAATAAATAATCAATGAAGGCGGAATTAATTCTGCAATGAGGGTTCGCACAGCGAGAAAAAAGTTTCAGGTTTCAGGGATTTATATTCAATTTATCGGGGTCTTTCCCTAACTTTTAGGGATACTTAACACTTACTAGAATTACCGCTCGCATTTCGCATACTTATCAATTGAATTTGATGATAGAATTTCTAAAGATTCAAGATCGAAGTGTCATTGAATTTCCGATCACTGATTTGTGAACGACAAAAAAAATATTGATTGACGTTTTCAGTCTATAAAAAAAGAAATCATCACATTGTTCGCAAATTAAAGCAAAACATAGTAACAAAATATTCGTCTTCAGATTATGTATTCTTTTCAAATTCTTGTTTAAGTGATGAACAAATTATTTCATAATGAAAAATCATGACGGAGTATTGTGTTGACCATAATTCCGATAAGAGTCCATTTAAGGGATTACTTCAATCATTCTTTCATTTTTTCAAACGAACTACCCCAGTTGTATGAAGCATAGGTACGGTACAAGAACTGTTAAATTTTTGTTAAAAATTAGTTGACGTTTAATACGAACGCTCCTGAAAATTAGACGGAAAAGTTTCCAATTTTTAAGATATTTGTCACTGAAAATTATCAACACAATCACAGAATTATAAGATTTTCGCACTGATTTAATTTTTGGACTGCAGATTCCTAAAAATGAAGCATATATCTCTAAAAACTAAAACTTATTTTCTTTGTGTGTAAAACACTGGCGGGATTATAATCGTTGCTATTTTTAGTTACATATACCCCGCTTAACCGACACTAACAGGGACATTATGACCATAGCAGTAACGAAGAAAATCCTCCAGAATTGCATCGTGCAAGCGTGAAGACAACAACGGGTCTTGGGATTCCAGCAGTATTAATCGAACTCTGTGGCTGTCTTTAGACACTCAAACGTCCGGTATTAATTGCCGAACATGTATGGTACTGTAAATAAATAGTTCATTGTGTGAGACTAATAAATTTCATTGTCATATCGTTGATGTATTCTCATGAAATAAAGCTGTCTCACAAAGTTTTTTGAGGGTAACTCAGAATTTGAAATCGGGGAATTCATGCGTAATCCAGTGATGCGAAATAATGTCACATTTTAAAAGCTGTCAGGTTAAAAGAAAATGACCGTCATATGATGTCAAATTTTGTTATGTCATGATTTTGATCATAATTCCCCCTGTGATTCTGAACCAACTAGATAGATGTAAACTGATAGTCTAGAATTTTTCGGTTATAAAATTTGGTCACACTTAGTAATGATTCGTATTTTCCAGTATTCATTTCGATTTGAATACATTAATTGCATGTGTTTAACACTCCACTCAACGCCTTGTCATCGTGAAACTGGGACCATTTTCAAATTCCAAGCTATTTTACTACTAGGTAGATGTAATGTGACGGTCAGGGCTTCAATTGGTCATCATGTTGTATAATGAGAATTTGTCATATTCCCGTCCGTCTCATGACGGCTCATTAACGTTTGACATGGCAAGTCTGTGACTAACACGTCATTTTTTAGTATCCCTGATATTTTCCAATAGAAAATATTTCAAGTATGTCAAATAAATAATCCATTCATTGCAAATAAATTCCCCATTGGATTGAAATAACGTAAGGTTCATTTAATACAAATAAAGGCTTATCATACATGTTGATTAATTGGTTGTTATCGTACGTCTAAAGAATGATTTGATTGCTAATCAATGGAGTCTTCAATGGGATGGAGAAAATATTTCTTTATTAAACTAATTATAAGTCATTTACTTGACGTAAACGATCGCCCGATTTTACCTCGAAGTCACCGAAGCGAAGCGAATTTTTACTATCGCAATTCGTTGTGTGAATAATTTTAAGAATGTTCAGACTAGACTGATCGAAATTCACGAAGAGAACAACGAT